CAAGTTGGGTATAACAATTTCTTCTTGATCCTCTAGCATGCGCTTTCGAACTTGATCTTCTCCTTTTCACTTCGCATTCTCTTTGTGCGTCACGAATGGCCCGACTAAGATCATCGGTGGGCTCATCTTACGCCCCTACCTCTTCTTCACTTCCCCATTGCAAAGATCATTGAAGGCACCATATTCAGCAATAATGTCATCATCGTCCCATTGTTCTTCTTCACCTTCTTCCATTACAACCTCGGTTTCTCCGTGCTTCATCCAACAAATATAGTTTGACATGAAACCCGACTTCAACAAGTGTGAATGAAGACTCCTTGAGCTAGCATATTCCTTCAAATTCTTACATATGGCACGTGGGCAAGCACATGAAACCATCGCGTTTGTTTGCCTCGCCACACGAAGAAAGAGATGCACGTCCTCAATGAACTCTTGGGAGCGGCGATCAGCATTGTACATCCAATGCCGGCTCATCTGCATTACATGACATACATACCATATTAAAACCTAGAACATAATTAGTTAATTATACGATATGCATGCCACCACACAAGGTATTAATTTATGAAAGTCTCGCTATAATGTAGACAATCCCAACTACCACTAAAAACTAAAGCTAAAATGCACTTCAAGAAAGATAAGGATTTCATGACCAATCCTAACTAAAGCATGACAGATCATGCGTTTGTTCAACATCTATGGGCTTCTTCCGCAGAGGATCGCCTCATCACCGCCAGATCCATCCGTGTGCAAGAGAGTTTTGCACGTGTTCAACATACTCTTCCTCCCCATTACCAAACTGAACATCCAAATTGCCATCCCACTAAAATTAAAACAAAAATTAGAACTTTAATCACAATCATCATAAAAATAAGTATACATTAACCATAATCATCAAATGCGACAAAATAACTCACATTGCGAATCGGACACTTGTAGAAGATACGGCCCTTGTTGGGACACTCCTTCCTCACCCGGTACTCCATCACAATCTTCTCCTCACACTTGCCGCATGCAATGAGAGGGAGGTCCGACCTCAGTCGCTTTGGAACCGATGAGAGGCCAAGGACCCGGAAGCAGTTGCCATCTACTCTCTATACTCATTTTTAATATAATATGAATTTCTCGTTTTATAAACAAATAAAATTAAAAAAACTCTAAAATTCTCTATATCTCTAAACCATGAAGTGTGCTATGCATGCAAGAAATGAAAGCTGAATACTAGTTTTGAATAACTACTTTAACCTTCCTTCATCCAAATATGCAAACTTTAAAGTGATTTTGAGCTTAAATGGCTTACAAATAAAAAAATCCACCATAAAAAATCACATATATCTAGTCCACAAAATGAGATATGCTACTGATGAAATATGAGAGTATAAAGTTGGTAACCTTTAGAACCGAAGAATCGATGGAGGAATCGAAGAAATCTTGTGATTACCGGCGATGAGGAAGAAGAGAGGCCAGCGATAAAGCAAGAACATTGAGCTCGAAGTGGCTCGGGCTCGGGGAGGAAGAAGGGGTATATAGGAGGGGACCTTTAGTTTCGGTTGGAGACAGCAACCAGGACTAAAGGTCCCTTTCTAGTCCCGGACGGAGCCTCCAGCCGGGAGTAGACTTTTACTCCCGGTTGGAGGGACCAACCGGGAGTAAAAGTTAACCTTTAGTCCCGGTTGGTAGCTCCAACCGGGACTAAAGGTTCCCTGTAGCAAAAGCCTGCCGCAGTAGCCGTTGGGCAGAGACCTTTAGTTCTGGTTGGAGCTACCAACCGGGACTAAAGGTTTGTCTAGTCCCAGACGCAAAAAATACCGGGACTAAAGCTAAATTTCGAAGTGGATCAAAAACCGTTTCTCTACTAGTGAGTTTCAGTAGTCAATGAAGAAAAGAAAAAGAGAGAAAGATAATAGTCTTGTCCTTCCTAGAATTCATTTCAAATCAAATCATATCAAACATACTTCAAGTCGACCTTCTATTTGCGGCCTGCGGTGATGTCACTAGTGTCATTGCAGCCGGCAGCTAGAGTTCCATAGCCACGCAAACTGGAGTTCCATAGCCGCGCACGCATCGTAACAGTACCCTTGCAACCACTTCTCGTCATGACATCTTCATCTCTAGCCAGTGTTTTCCTTATATTCTTGCTGACTGGAGTCATCTTGGCATTGTCTCATGGAATCTCTAACTCCTATGATGCATCCCGCCTTTAGACTGACACTACGGACTTCTCGGTGATGCATCACGTGTCTTTATTAGGTGACTCCTGAAAAGATCATTGTGGGAATTGCAGGTGGTGGAGTTTGTGGTTGGCTGTAGTTAGTCCAGGCTAGGTATTGTGGCAACATTGGCTCGAAAAAGAGGGAGGTAGCGTCGACGGACTTTGACTTGGTGTGTTACTTGTTGGGTACTGACTCCTCGACATCGAGGAGCAATCTCTAGATCTCTCCTTAGCTGTTTGTACATGCCAATGACCTCGTCGAAAGCATTATTTCGGTGTTCAGAGATTTTTCTGTCTGAGATGAAAATCTATGGTCCGGTCTTCACTCAATCACTTGTTGGATCATGGCAACAATGGTGCGTGTGCATGTCGTGTCCTTCTTGTAGGCATTGTTCTAGGGAACGTAACCCCTCTCACAATCAGATGTTGCTATATGATGGCATAATGAATTGAAGATTAATTGTGTGTTGTTGTCTGCTGCAACATGATGTATGTTGCCATGTCTTTTTTTTTCTTTTCCTTTTTTTATAGGTTGTGTGCACCTTAGCTATGCAAAGGCTAGGATTGGTCTTAATATGACTGCAAGTTTGGGCTTCAATTGAGGAACGATCAATTTATATATATGATAAAGAATATTAGGTATGGTGCGTCAAGAGTAATGTTTACTGATGGAGGTAGCCACTTTTTTGGAAATGAATTTACAAAATGCCTGTGGAAATTAGGAATTTATCACACAGTGGGTACATCTTATCATCATCAGACATATGGGCAAGGTCAGACCTCAAATAAGCAACTCAAGAGCATATTGAACAAGCCTGTAACTATATAGGAGGGAAGAATTGGTCCAAGAAGTTTGGCGTAGCTCAGTTGGCATAAAGAACTTCGTTTAAGACACATAGGTGGGACCCATACGCATATTAATTAACCTGTTTATAAAAAAACATGTCATTTGCTAGTAGAAACAGAGCATAAGGAGAATTGGGCTATAATAAGAGAAATGAACTTATATTTGAATGCTGCAATAAAAAAAGAATTAAAATAAGTGAACTAGAGAAGCTGAGGTTGAGGTTGAGGTTGAAGTGCTGGCTCTTGCAAAAGCGCAAACCAAACCATGGTTCGAGAGAAAGCTCCTAAAAATAAATTCAAAAAAGGGAAGCAAAATGCGTTTATACAACTCGAGGTTTAAACTATTTTTCAGAGGTAGCAAAAGAGATGGACCTTATGTTGTAGGAGTACGTACATGATGTCTTCCCAACAAAAGCTGTTGAAATAATGGATGTCAAGGGAAGTCACTTTATGGTCACTTTAAAGTTCTTGCTAGAACAAGATCAAGCTCCCATCCACTACATCAACGCCATGCGCCTAGCGCATGTCTAACTTGACGACCCTAAACTCAAGTAAATCTGTACATACATGTGCCTCTTATTTTTCTTTAGAATCTCCAGGTTTTGTGCACACAAATATCTTCAATTCGAGGTATAGAAGAATCCCGGTGTTAAATGAGGCACAAGCCGGGCAGCACTGTTTGGCATGAGACACCATTTTCTCTAGTCCTCTGACAAGATCAAGGGCAACGGAAACTTGCAGATGACCCATGTAATCTGCTCCTGCTGCCTCCCAAACCTAACCCAACATATATGTATAGTTGCTTATAGTAAAACAAGGATGCTAGCTCCTTTCTTTCCAAATTCAAACATAACATGGCCTTCCAAGACGAATGCCTCGTGAGAAAACAACAACCAAAATTCATCCATCTATGTTTCATTCATCTTCTAAGACATTTATATATCATCACCTTTTGGAAGACAAGAGGCAAATTGGCAAAATAAGCCAATAACTCGTATAGAGGAGCTGGTAAAAAAAATAATGACTTCAGAACTACTGACGACAACAACTTAAGGGCCTGTTTTGTTCTCCCTGCTAAACTTTAGTCAGTTTAGGCACTAAATTGCTAAATAAACTGACTAAAAAGGGACTAAAGTAGTTTAGTCACATTAGTACCCCAAGGAGATGCTAAAAGGGACTAAAATGCACAGTGGACAAGGGTTGTCCCTCATTATTGCCGGTCCTCCACCATGATTTGTGAATTTATTAGGGATAGTTTGGCCTTTATTAAATTGTTTTAATGACCTTTAGTTACTAGAACCAAACAAGGGTGACAAGGAAAACCAAACGAGGCCTAAATAAAGATGTGTTATTTTAAAAAAAAACTAAATAAAGATGTGTTATGGAACTATGGAAGTAGGTTGTGCACTGCACAAAGGAGTAATGCTTTACCGTATAAATGAACTATTAAAAAATTTAAATTCCACTACAAGGGTGGTAGTTTCGGGAGTCATAAATGAAGTAAAGTAAAGGGGAGAGAAAAATACTACTCCCTTTGTTTTAAATTATAAGTCGCTTTGATTTTTTTGGTTTATTCATTTGCTACGTATCTAGACTATATTTTGATGCATAGTAAATTAGATGTATCAAAGAAAGTTAAAGTGACTTATAATTTAGAACGGAAGTAGTAGTACTAGTATAGTCGCTGTGCTTCCTGGAATTCGTTTCAAATCAAATCAAATTGAACTTCCTTCAAATCCTACGTCTACCCAGGACCAGGAGAAAAAGGACCAGGACTCCAGGAGTAACGTGAGGTGGACCCCACCAAAACATGTCCTCTTCATGTCGCCGCGTACGGTGCTTCCACTCCACCCAATCCCCTCGAGCGAAGTGACACAGGCCGAACGGACGGCAGTTCTTCACTTCTCCGCCCGTTTGGTGAGTTCGCGAGCGATTCTTCGTCATGCAGCCACTTACAACTACTACTACTCATGTACTCCGCCGCCCCACGCCACCGGCCGCCTCCAGGACGCCCCCGCCACCTCCACCTCCATCCCCGAGCAACCGAGCCGCCCCGCCGCTCCGGCCGCCGGAGCTGCCGCTGCCATCGGCACTGGTGCCTCCGAAGAAGCGCCGGGTCCTGCGGACTCCGCCCAAGGCCACCATCCCTTTCCTTCCTGCCCCACCTGTCCCCGTAGCGGTCGCGGTCCCAGTCCCCACCCAACCGCCCCAGGTGGACGACGCAGAGTCGCCTCTGTTTTCGGCCCAAAAACCCTCGCCGCCGCCACCACCTCCACCCGTGGAAAAACCCTCTTCGCCACCGCCACCACCTCCACCCGCGGAAAAACCCTCTTCGCCTCCGCCACCTCCTCCGCCGCCCGCGGAAAACCCCTCTTCGCCGCCGCTGCCGCCACCTCCACCCGCGGAAAAAACCTCTTCGCCGCCAACGCCGACACTCACGGGAAAACCCTCCTCGCCGCCGCCATCACCTCCACCCGCGGAAAAACCCTCCTCGCCGCCGCCTCTTCCTCCTTCGGCTGTGGACGAGAAACCCTCCGCACCGCCTCCGACCGACGCGGCCACGGAACCGGCTCCCGCAACAAAGCCGCGTAAGATCACACGAAAGGTACGGACGATCAAAAGAAGGGTCCCCAAAGGCACGATCGCAGCCTGGAAGGCTACGGCGGAGGCGGCTTTGGCTGCCGCCGGAGCGTTACAGCCTGGGAAGGGACACGCTCTGGACTATTCCTCTCAAAATGCTGCCGCGGTGGATGAAGTGGTGCAGAAGGAGCAGAGTTTTGGGGGACACACAATTGAAAAACCGGCCACTGCTGTGTGTGAAACACTATTGGGTAAGGGGACGGCTGTGTGTGAAACACTATTGGGTAAGGGGACGGTGCGTGGAGGAACACTAGCCAGTGGGCCGGCAACGGATATTGGTGGTGAGCATGAGGTGAAGAAATTGGGGAGCAGGGGTGAGGACAGGGCTGAGGTGGTAATGTCGGAGCGGCAGAGGAGGATGACAGAGGTGTTTGTCGATGGACTCAGTAGGGACACAAAGGAGGAGGACGTGAGGGCAGCGCTTTCAGTGGCGGGGGATATCACAGAAGTTCGCATGATCATGGATGCAACGACGAAGAAGAACAAAGGCTACTGCTTTGTGCGCTACCGTGAGTCTGCGCAGGCAAGGAAGGCCATTGCAAACTTCAGCAACGTTAAGGTTGTGCTTGACCCACATGGCCAAATTCATTAATTTTTGTTTAACAATCAAAAGGGGACAAGATGCCCACCTGAACATTTCGTTTGAAATACCACTGCATGACACACTCGCGGGGTTTTGGGCAAGCTCCACGGTGTTAGAATCTATGCATTAGCATATTTTGTGACTGTTGCTTGTATGAAAAGCCATTGGGACTTCATGATACCACAGTTGTGTCTGCTAGCCAAGTTTAAAGTGACTTATGTTTGATTGTCTCCCTGTTTCCCTTTCTCTTGTCTTTCTCCATATTGATTAATTGTTACCTTGTTCTCTGAAACCCAATTACTAGATTTGTGGAAAGCAGTGTCGAGTTGCAGCTCTGGGTGGGAATGATAAAATCTTTCTTGGGAACCTTGATAAGAAATGGAAGAAAGACGATGTGAGCATAACTGCGCTTGTAGCTACTATTTCTTTCTTGTGAACAGCTTGATTCGATATTCTCTCCTAAATAATTGGCTGCTTGCTTACATGTTTTTCTTTGAAGCAGATCATGAAACTACTACAGAAAATTGGAGTTGAGAACATTGACGTCGTTACCCTTCCGGCTGACTCTAATAATCCAGGCTATAATCGTGGATTTGCATTTCTTGAACTGGAGACTTATAAAGATGCACAGATTGCATACAAAAAGCTTTCAAGGAAATATGTTTTTGGCAAGGGTTTAAATATAAGAGTTGCATGGGCTGAACCATTGAATGGTCCAGATGAAAAACAGATCCACAAGGTCTCTCTCTCTCTCTCACACACACACGCACATACACACATGAGACATGACACACATGACGACACACACGCCCACACACATTCATGGACGCACATGCCACACGCACGCGCAGAACAACGCACATTCATGGACGCACACATACATAGGCTGTTTGTGATCTGTAACTTTTTTTGGTATCCATTTCCTGAAGACATTAACACATTTGTGGTGCATTGGGTCAAATAAGACTGGAAACTTTGTATAGCAGCTACGATTCTGACTTTAGAAGTACATTAGGCTATGACATTTTGCACCTGTAACAATTTGATTTTGGAAGTACTTTAGACTCTGTATGTGTGTATATCAATGGTTCAGTCCTTTTTCATTGGCCCTGTCACAGTTGAACATCATAGTTGGCTGTGTTTTCAGTGGCTAGTCACAAATTCCCAAAGAGTTGTAAGTAACATTTAGGTGTAAGCAGTCTTTGTGGAAGGTGTATTGAATTCTTGGGATCAAGCTAAGATGACAGATATTTTCAAGAAATATGGAAACATCGAACTTGTAGCTCAATCATGTGATATGCATCCAGCTAAAAGGAATGACATTGCATTCATTAATTACACTACTCATGAGGCTGCTATCTTGTGTCTTGAATCATTTTGATGGGAAATAGTTGAAAGGTCCTTTGTAATATCTTAGTCTAAGTTGGAGGGTTTTTTTAACATGATTCTCACATTTTTAGTGTTTCATGCCAGGTTAATATTAGAGTCACTCTTGCTAAATCTGTCCAAAAGGGCAAGAAGATTATGGAAGATCATAGATTTTGTATTACTGAGAAAGATAAAACAAAGACTGCTCAAAATGAGTTAATTCCTTTCGAATCCCCATCGTCCTCTTTCTAGTTCATTTCCGATTATGTGCCTAACTTATGGTTGCCAATCTCACTCCTCTGTTAACTACTGTTTCTTTGTGTACAAAATATTGTAAACATAGTATACCTTATGTATAAGTATATAACTGCTGTCTTCTTGCTGTTCTTGGTCACAATGTCTGGTATCGGGTTAGCTAGTTTCTGTAGTAATCCAATGATCTGAATTTGCAGGTGTCATGCAGAGTTATATATCTACATATATTGCCTGTTATCCTCTTTTTCATTTTTAGATAGATTGTAATGAGCTAAGGGTGGCAGTGGCACGCCTTAATAAGATGAATTCAGTCTATTTTTGAAAGTTATTTTGCTCATGAACAGTTAAGTGCTTTTTCTCAATTTCTCTCAACCATTTCATCGATTTTCACTAGGTGAAAGAATACTTGGGCCGTCTTCACTGCATATATTCCCTTCCAGTTCCAGGGCGGTTCCACCCACAGGGGATAAGAAGTCATCAACAGATCATGGCTTGGTTCAGGTTCTGAGGGAGATGGTTCCCTGGAGACATGAACATACTGGTTCAGGTTAGTTTCATGTGGCCAGTTGAACACTGTAAAATTCTGCATCAGATTAATTTGCAGTCTCATATTAGTATTTGAGACCAGTGACTCATTTTATCTCTACCTTGGAAAGCTTTCATCAAGGGATAAACATTGTTCACCCCCTAGATGAAACAAAACCTTCAACTAAGGATATATAAAGTTGATAACTATTCATTTAAATGGACTCAATAACTTGCATGTTACATTTATTTTTAAAAATGCACAAGGTGGTATTGTTGGATGACTTTTTCTTATTTGTTATTTTTAATAATGTTACTCAACAAACTAACTGGTTTTCTGATGTCATATTAGGATTTATGTTTCATTTTTCTTTGACCAAGTTAATTTTCTGGTTTAATTTTGAAGCCCTGATCTGTTTGCTAATATCAAAATGATTGCAAATAGTAATATTGGAGGGTTCCATGTTTTAGCTAAAAACTAATCTTGGCTGCACCTCTTCTTTTGGCAGTTGCTCTTGTATACAACTTTTGCTATGTACATCTATGACATACAAGATGCATGCAACATTGAACATATAGAGCTTTCTAGCATTCAGTAGATATTTGATGCTTTATGACCACTATTTTGAAGCTATCAACTTTAAAATACCAATTGCTGATGTTTTCATCCCTATAAGTAGCAGGAAGGCTTACTCAAAATTATCCCCGCATATTGTCAGGAGAGAAGCGGCCTTTCTCAGCACTTGTAAGCTATACCATATAGGCATGAAACATTTACTCATTGATTTTGTCGTATTTGTTTTAATCTTGCTTACTACAGGCCCGTTCGTTTCACGAGGAATGGCTCTCAGGAAAAATTCCCGCCGGAATTGCTAGTTAATTTATACAAGGTTTGATTAGCTGGAAAAATTCCTGGCCTCATCCACCCCTAAACGAACGAGCCCTACAGGGGATTGATTCTTATTACATGGCCCGCAACCCTCACGCAGGACATGAGAGGAATACCTATGCTACGTCAACTTCAAGGTTATCTCAATTTCTAAGCGATCACAACTCTTCATCGCATATCTTAGCATAGAGTAATAGTTTTCTTTCAATCTGTATCACATCTCAGCTACAGTGCATCGCCCCCTGCCATCACCGAGTATTCTCCTCCATATCATCATGAAAGCAGGAGATACCGACTAGGTATGTCCTTGCAGCCCATCTCACGTTAATCCGTCTCTCCGTCATCTGGTATAACATGTATGATGTGCTATTTTTGCTTTCAGATTCAGATTCTGTACTATCAGAAGAACCATGGGGTGGGATTCAGGTATGCTGTTCCATCATGAATTCTTTGTGCTCACCCTTTTTTAAGCAAATGACACAGGGAAGCCCATTGGTAATACTTTTATTTTTGTGTGGAAAATGATACAACTAGTGTGTCCATCATTCCCCTGTGTTTATGTTTTATTCAGATTTCATAGCGATCAGACTTGATCATTGGTCTCCTCTGTTCAGATGAGGCAAGCCTGTTCTCGCAAATCAGGGATGTCACATGACGGCTGGCACTAACAGAGATGTAAGAGCAGCTTACACCATTTCACGTTATTGTGTGACGATTAAGCCTTGATATCTGGTATTCTGCATGTTGTTTCAGGGGCTTCCACAGACTGACTGCAGCTAAAGATGATTGTTTTGCGACTCACCGATCAAGAGGACTCCTCCTGGGCTTGTCTCAGAACCCCATATAGCTGTGTATATGTAGTGTAGAACTGGAAGGAGTTGGGAGTTTGGTTGGGTATCTGTGTATCATACACTTGTGGGGCGGGACCTTGCTTTTGCCTTTTATACCTCCCCCCTGCAGCAAGTGGTGCTATGTGCATATTCTCTGGATCATGCAATGCATGTTGCGAGTTGCGACTAAGGTCGACAATGCTTTTGCTAATCCATCTAACATCCGGAGATGATGCAAGTATTTGCCTGCTGTGAACTGATGTTCATTGATAATACTGATAGTTGCCCATATTTCTATGAGCATGCTGCACCTGTGCACCGAAGTTTCTGTCAACATATATACTCTGCTGCCTACATGCAGACCCTGTATATAACATAATATACTAGTTTTCCTGCTGCTCTGTAACACACCGGTGTTCAGGCTACTGAAACAGGGGAGGAAGCCGGAAGCGTAATATGAGGACTACGTCTTTACAGTTAAGAAGCAGAATCAGACCTTCATAGGTTTGACTGTGTGAAACGCTTGTCTTTGTGTGGGCCCAGAGGGCAGTGAGTGCGGGAGGGGATGTTACAACTTACAACCAGTTTGTATCCGTGTGTTTATTAGCATCTTTTCTTTTTATCTCCCAAATAATTTCCCTCGTTCCTTCGTTCTGTCTTTGAATTATCAATTGCTGACGGCCTAGTGATCTCGCCTCGCCGGTGGCGACTGTCATGTTCAATGACTCACTTGCCTCAAATTGCGGTTAGAGTACTAGAGAGCTATATTTTTGAATGGCCATAGGTAAATATGGCACTGAAGAAAATTTCTTCAAAAATATAACTCAAAACTTATAGCGTGATTTTTTTTCAATATATTTGTTTTTTTTTGGTAATTTGAATTAAATACCCCTTCCATCCTAAAACAGGTAACCTTATAGGATTTAAACTTTGTTCTAAAATACTTGATCTTCTCACTTCTAAGTTTCTAATACATCTTTCTGTTTTCCTAATACACTTTTCTTTTTTTACTAATACATCTCTATCTCTACTCCTTGAAAGGTATTTTAGTCTTTGCCTTTTGCGTTGGTTTCCGTAAGAGATTTTAGAATGTTATGTAATATAAGACAGATAGAGTATTTTAAAATTCATGTGTTACAATAACTACTAAGGCCTTGTTTAGTTTCTTCCCTTAAAGTTTACTCCCTATTACATCGGATGTTTGGACACATGTATGGAGTATTAAATATAGACTAAAAATAACTAATTGCACAGATTGTGAATAATTTGCGAGACGAATTTTTTAAGCCTAACTAGTCCATGATTGGACAATGTGGTGCTACAGTAAACATGTGCTAATGACGGATTAATTAGGCTTAATAAATTTGTCTCACAGATTACTGACGAATTCTGTAATTTGTTTTTTTATTAGTATCTAAACACCCCATGCGACACCCCATATGTGACACCCGATATGACAACCCTAAACTTTACCCCTCGATTTAAACACCACCTACTATATAAACTTGAAAGTTGAATAAAAGACTTGGTCGGTGTACTAAATGACACACGTCAGAATAATACACACGGGTCCAAGATTGCTTAGTTGTACTAAATGACACACGTCAGAATAATAGAGCTTTTATCAATCCAACCAAACACACTCTATTAGGCATGATTGCTTAGTTGTAGCTGTGGCTGCAATATGAGTGTTAAACACGGTTACAGAACAGGCGTAGCCACAACCACTCTAAAGAGAAACGAACACGCAGGAATTGTCATGAGTTACCCGTTTGAATCCATTGGATTCTGAGAATCCAGATAGAAAAAAACCTAGAATCCTAGTATCTTAATCAAATGGTTTAGATTCTAGAAAGATTTTAACTTAGATTTTTAGAATTTTAAAATTTAATAAAATTGTTGTGATTCTTTTTTATCTGGATTCGTATAATTCGATGGGATTCGTACGACACCTATTTGACCTTTCTGTCTTCTGGATGAGCACTCTCCGCTTTGACTCGACTCTTCATTCTGCACTGCTGGTGTTCAGTGGGAGACAGCTCTCTCGACCAAGCCGGAATCGTCATGAAGCTCCGCCGCCTCGCGCCGCCCGCGGCCTCCGCAGCGCTCCCGTCGCCCTCTCCGCCGCCGCGCCACCAAGCTCCGGGGGCTCTTCAACTGCCGTCGGCGCAGGCGCCCTCAAAGAAGCGCCGCGTCTCGCCTTCCCCGCCCAAGACGGCCACCCCAGTCCCGCCGCCCCCACCGGCACTCGCAACCTCCGCTCCCGCTGCCGCGTTCCTGAGCCCGTACTCGCTGCCTCAAGGGGACACGACTACGGAGCCTGCGTACGTGGATTCCCCCACGGCGCCGCCTCCGGCCGCGGACGAGAAACCCTCCACGCCGTCGCCTCCGGCCGCGGTCTCCGCGGCCTGTCGCCGCGAGGCCGGTGCTCGCACGGGAGGCTCGCAAGATGAAGAGGACGGTCATCATTACCAGAAACCCTGTCCCCAAGGGCACGTTAGCTGCTCGGAAGGCCGCCGCGGCGGCCGCCGTCGGAGAATTACCGGCGGGGAAAAATGCTGCTTTGGATGAAATGGCGGACGAGGAGCAGAATGCGAGGAAAATTGAAGCCGAGGAGCTGCCTAGTGGCTTCAGTGTCGTTGATGTGGATGAAACATTGTTGGGATCCGCTCAAAAAACCTTGTTGGGTGAGGAGGCTGTGGGGGGAGGAACCTTAATCGGTAAGCCGGTGGCAAATACTGATTCTGATGCCTGCAAGGCAGAGGAATTGGCGAGTACGAGCATAGGAAAGGAGGAATTTGGGATTTCAGACAGGGCTGAGAGGCAAAGGAGGATGACAGAGGTATTTGTCTGCGGGCTCGACAACGACATGAAAGAGGAAGACGTGAGGTCAGTGTTTGGGTGGGCAGGCGAGATCACTGAGGCCCTGTTTGTTTCCGCTTATAAGCGGCTTATCGGTGGAAATAAGCGAGAATTCCGCCAAACGCTTTGCTTATTTCCACCGATTCTCGCTTATGTGGTAAACCGCTTCAGAGATTTGAACTACGAGAAGCGAAAAGCGAGAAGCAAGAAAATCTTGGCTTAGATTATAATCCAAGTGTGTCTGGGAGAAGCAGAAACAAACAGGACCTGAGGCTGTGTGTCGCTCGTGAAAAATTTTTGGATGTCACATCGGATGTTTTGAGATGTTGGAAGAGGTTTTTGATACTAATAAAAAAATTAATTATATAGATTGTCTGGAAACTGTGAGACGAATTTATTAAGCATAATTAATCTATCATTAGAGCATGTTAGTTACTGTAGCACTTATGACTAATCATGGACTAATTAGTCTTAAAACATTCGTCTCGCGATTTTCAACCAAACTATGCAATTAATTTTTTTCGTCTATATTTAATACTCCATGCATATACCATAAGATTCGATGTGATAATTTGGGTTGAAAATATTTGAGAACTAAACCAGGCCTGGATGCGAGACGTCGAAGAGCAAAGGGTACTGCTTTGTGCGGTACCGTGAGCCCTCACAGGCTAAGAAGCTTGTTGCGGAGTTCTGCAAATTGAAGGTTGTTTCGACTCACTTGGATGAATTCAAAGTCAGCTTCTCATGCTTGAACTCAAATTTCCAGCTGGCTGCATATTTGTGCCAAATGGTGCTAGAAAATCTATTATTTTGATTTTATTGAGTTAAGTTGATGTGCCAACATTGCTAATTACCCCAACTTGACCTTGGTTTGATTGACACACCTCTTGTAGCAGAAGCTTTTGCCTTTATTTGATTTCTCTGATTACATCTTTATCCATCGCCTTGTTCATTTTGCGTGACTCAGACAATGTTTTTTTTTTAAAAAAAACGCCTTTAAAAACTTAGAATTAGAATGTACGCTTATTGTTGATTACATCTAAGCTTCTATTAGATTGGTTGCCATGCTTGGACGCCTGGTATGGTTCCAATCATTCGTTACCATTTACTGGAATCATATTAGTGCCAAATTACATGCTTGTGTCATGCCACTGCTGTACTGTTAAGTTTCATTATATATTAATTTCTGAACATATGATCATTCTACAATTGAACATTGTGCATTTGGTTGTAAGTTGTAACCTAAAGCTTGCTTTCTGTAGAAAATAAAATGTAGGATAGGTAGATATGGATGAAAAATTCTACTTTCTGTACCATACATAGTTTATGTGTTATATGTTAGATAATCTATTGCTTCCTTGTGTGAACACACAGAAAGTGAAGACGGCGTCGAAAAGGCTCCCTGCCATGGTACTATAGCTGCTGTAGAGGCAGGCACCGAACGGCTCACATGCCGTACTGTAGCCACATGCAGGGACAGGCGCAGAAATCAGTCCTGCTGTGTTGTCTAGTCAATGTTACAGCAGGACAGCTGTACTAGGACTAGATGGATATAGTTGTATATATAGTTTGCCACTGCAACTCAACAAAAAGAGTTCAGTTTTACCATCTCCTATACAGGGCTCCGGCCAATGTTGGTGCTTATACTGTGTGTATGCTCTGTTCTCCCTCTTCTTCTACCTTAGCCATAGTGTGTGTGGTCGGACAACGCTTCTTCGTGGTTGGCATAGCTAGTGGGTGCTCGGCAAGACTGGTGAGTGGTCGACTCACCTGAGCCGGTGATCCTGTGGGCTAACAAGTGGTATCGGAGCCGTACAAGCGCCGTCGCCAGACTAACCGCTGGCGATGACGAATGGTTCGGAGATGGGCAACAACAATGGCATTGTTGTGGCTGCCGAGCCACTACCGGAGGTCGTTGTTCGTACGGTGCGGGAGGTCAGCGGCACCAGTTGGCCGACGCTGACTCGCACCAACTATGGAGAGTGGTCGGTGACCATAAAGGTCAAGCTCAAAGCCCGACGGCTCTGGAATGCTGTTAACAAGGGCACCGATAATGAGGAAGATGACATGTCAGCGTTGGAGGCTATCCTCGTTGCTGTACCGGCGGAGTACAGGGAGCCGTTGGGGGTGAAAAGCTCTGCAAAGGAGGTGTGGGAGGCTATTGCGGCAATGCGCGTCGGTTCCGACCGTGCAAAGAAGGTGACGGCCCAGTTTCTGAAGCAGGAGTATGCCAACCTCAAGTTCAAGGATGGTGAAACGATGGATGATTTCTCCCTCCGCCTGCAGACGCTCATCAGCAAGCTGAAGAGCCACGGTGTCACCATCGACGAAGAGGAGGCGGTCTCTAAGTACCTCCACTCCGTGCTGGCAAAGTACATTCAGATCGTTCTCTCCATAGAGACGATGCTAGACTTGTCCACCCTCACCATTGAGGATGTGACAGGCCGTCTGCAGGCGGTGGATGAGCGTCTGGAGCAGGCGACAGCAACAACGGACAGCGGCAAACTGCTGCTGATAGAAGAGGAGTGGGCTACTCGGAGGAACTCCGGGAAGGCTTCTTCAGAGAAGAAGAAGCAGATCGACCCCAACGCTTGCCGGCGCTGCGGGGAGACGGGCCATTGGGCACGGGAGTGCCCAAATCACAAGTAGGAGAAGAAGGTTGAGGCTCATCTAGCGCAAGCTAATGATGATATGAGGCCACTATCCTGATGGCGATGTTCTATGCACTGCATGATGTCGAGGCCGAGGAGAAGGAAGAGGTGACGATGGTGGAAGGACCTGGGAAGGCTCTGAAGGCTGTCAACCTCGACGAACCACACGCCCAAGTCCACCTCGGACATGTGGGCGCCGACGAGGAGAAGCGGTGGTATCTGGACTCTAGTGCCAGCAACCACATGACGGGCTCCAAGGCATCCTTCTCCGAGCTTGACGACGATGTTACCGGTACAGTGAAGTTTGGTGACGGCTCACAGGTGGCAATCCAAGGGCGCAGCACCATCATCTTCAGGTGCCAGAACAGGAGCACTGCGCGCTAACGGATGTATATTACATCCCGCAGCTGTGTTCCAGCATCATCAGCATTGGTTAGCTGGATGAGCGCGGTAGCGAGGTACTGATCAAGGATGGAGTCCTTAGGATTAGGGACCAGGAGCAGCGACTTCTCGCCAAGGTGAAGAGGTTCCTGAACCGGTTGTACCTGCTCAACCTGAAGGTAGAGCAGCCGGTGTGTCTGGCGGCAAGGCACACCGAGTAGCCGTGGCAGTGGCATGTCCGGTGCCCGATCACACCAGCTACAAACGGTGGTCGGCCGTACTTCCTCCTGCTCGTGGATGATTGCAGTCACTACATGTGGCTGCAACTCTTGGCGAGCAAGGATGAAGTGGCGGCGGTGATCAAGAAGTTCAAGATGCACGTGGAGGCCGAGAGCAGCAAGAAGCTCCATGGACTGAGGACTGATCGTGGCGGTGAATTCACTTCGGTAGAGTTCGCTGCGTACTACGTGGATCAGGGTGTGGTGCGATACCACACCGCGCCGTACTCGCCACAATAGAATGGCGTGGTGGAGAGGCGGAACCAAACGGTGGTCGGCATGGCTCGATCCATGATGAAGGCCAAAGGCATGCCGATAAGGTTCTGGGGTGAGGCGGTGACCACGGTGATGTTCATCCTCAACCGTGCTCCGACCAAGGCCCTGACGGGCAAGACGCTGTTCGAAGCTTGGTATGGGTGCAAGCCGAGCATGTCCTTCCTTCGGACATTCGGCTGCATCGGCCACATCAGGAAGACGAAGCCGATCCTCACCAAGATGGAGGTCACGAGCACACCAATGGTGTTCCTGGGCTACGTGGAGGGTACCAAGGCGTACCGGCTCTACGACCCACGCGGAAACAAGGTACTTGTCTCGCGCGACATCATGTTCAACGAGAAGGCGGCTTGGGACTGGAGCAGTCCGAGCACTGGGGAAGCTGGCGGCTTCACCAGCACCTTCGTCATCGAGCACCTAGTCATCCACGGTTGTGGAGACGCTGGGGAAGAGGTGCCGAGCACTTCGGGAGGGATGCCGAGCACTCCGGGAGGAGTGCCGAGCACTCCTGGAGTGATGTCGAGCACTCCATGAGTGATGCCAGGAGGTTCTGCAGTGGTGGCGACCACTATAGGACGGGTGCCGAGCACTCCCGTAGCGGAGCCAAGAGGTCTTGCAGTGGTGCCGACCACTCCAAGACTTAGGCTGAGCACTCCTATAGTAGTGCCGAGCACTGCAGGAGTAGTGACCAGCTGTCTAGAAGTAGTGCCGAGCACTGCAACCATGGTGCCGAGCACTTCAGGTGTAGTGCCGAGCACTCAGGCGGGACAGGGAACTCCATCGATGCCGATCGAGTTCGCCTCACCTCCAAGTGACATCATTGAGTTTGTGTATGCCTTCCACGAAGGTGAGGAGGTGCGTTTCCATAGGCTGGACGACATCGTCGGCGGCACAGGGCCCTCAGGCCTGGTTGGTCGGCTGCTCAATGAGCAAGAGCTGCTGCTCGTTAGTGCAGAGGAACCACCCACATTCGTGCTGGCGGAGCGCGATGGCAACTAGTGACGAGCAATGCTAGAGGAGATGAAGGCGATCGAGGAAAACGAGACATGGCAGTTCATCGATCCACCTCTAGGATGTCGTCCGATCAGCCTGAAGTGGGTGTACAAGGTCAAGCGGGATGAGCTTGGCGCCATTGTCAGGCACAAGGCACGCCTCGTCGACCAAGGCTTTGTTCAGCGCGAGGGCATCGACTTCAAGGAAGTCTTTGCGCCAGTAGCGCGCAGGGAGTCTGTTCATTTGCTACTAGCCTTAGCAGCAGCAAAGGACTGGCGCGTCCATCACTTGGATGTTAAATCGGCCTTCCTCAATGGCGAGCTAGCGGAGACGGTCTTCGTTAGGCAACCTCTAGGTTTCGCTGTCAAGGGAGAGGAGCATAGGGTGCTCCGACTACGTAAGGCGCTCTACGGGCTATGGTAGGCCCCACGAGTATGGAACGCCAAGCTTGACGCTATGCTGGGCGAGCTTGGGTTTCAGCGGTGCACAACCGAGCACGCGCTCTACACGCGGCGACGGGGAAGGAGGAGCTCGTCGTCGGCGTGTATGTGGATGACTTGATCGTCATCGGCGCGTGCACGGTGGACATCAACAGCTTCAAGCGCGAGATGGCTGCTCATGTTTGAATGAGCGATCTCGGTGCACTCTTCTACTACCTCGGCATCGATATGAGACAGGGGAAGGAGGAACTCATGCTCGATCAGAGCGCGTATGCCTCGAAGCTGTTGGAACGGAGCGGCATGGCTGAGTGCAAGCCATGCGTGACTCTGATAGAGGAGCGGCTGAAGCTGACGAAGGCCAGCACCGCGACGAAGGTGGATGCAACACTCTACCGGAGCATCATCAGCGGTCTACGCTACCTAGTCCACACAAGGCCGAACATTGCGTTCGCTGTGGGCTACGTCAGTCGCTTCATGGAGGATCCTCGAGAGGATCACTGGGCTGCAGTGAAGTGGCTACTACGCTACATCAAGGGGACGATAGATCTAGGGATCATCTTCCCAAAGACCGGCAGGAGTAGGCTGCAGCTCACTATGTTCAGCGATGCAGACATGGCGGGGGACATCGACAGACAACGGAGCACCTCTGGCATGCTCGTCTTCCTCAGGTCGGCTCCGATTTCATGCCTGTCGCTGAAATAGAAGGTGGTGGCGCTATCTACGTGCGAGGCAGAGT